TGAGTAGGGAGCTCTTTTCTATAATATCTTTTTCTTATATTATATTGTTTAAAATAAAATTTTGGATATGTGAATATCGAGAGGGGAAGTTGCAATAAAAAATTGACTCCATCCTTCAATTGAAATAAACTTGTCCATACAAGTTTATCCACGGAAGTTTGTTTTTAAACTAAGTTGTGAATGAACAAGAGTGCCCCTTTATCTTGAAAATATCTACCATGGGCCTTGCCTTTAGTATAAATCTTGTCTCCTGAATGGACATGTTTGGGTCCAGTGACCTTGCAAATGCATGGGTACATTTTGACCATATGGAGTACGTATTAGGTTGGACAACTATGGGAGCTCATGTGTATGATCTAAAGTAATTTTTATTCTCATTATATTGAAATTGTTGTAATATTTGTGTTTTCATATGCTATATTGTAACTTGACAATTGTGACAGTAGAGTTTAAAGTACAAGACCAAACAACCCAAGAAATATTTTGGAAGTCCCTTTCGGATATTGTCCTAAAGCAGACTGATAAGCTTACAAACTTTCGCAGTTTCATGATAGATGGGGCTAGTGTAAATTGGAATGGTGTTCGAGCAATTTTTGGGAATGGTCAATTATTGGAAGGTTATGAGAGTTCCATTGGGCTCAAATCCTAAACTAACACTGCCACTTTATCTAGCCAAAGTTTCAATTAATGTTTAAGGAGTTGTGTAAACAGTGATAGATTGCACATTCTAAAGAAGAGCATAAGGTAAAAGCAAATAAGATTTGAATGTGATGGTGTAAATATGGCCATACGGATATAAATTGTTTATTACAACTTGAGTCATGGTTAGGGTGGTGGGAAGTTAAGATGTTCCAGTAGGGACATCACTCTTTTTAAGTTGGTTTCTATTTTTTCTTCTCATTTTATTGCCTTTTAATATTGCCTTTTCCATTAGTGGAGTACTCCCTGAGCTTCTATTGGTTATATGAAGATTGTTCGCTTAAAGTGTTGTTTTCCTTTTGCTGGTGAAGATGTTGGTAATAAAAATACTTTTTCTGCAAACATCTTATTTTTTGTTTTAACAAATATCCCTATTATGGCATGTAATAAATATTTAAATTGTTAGAACAAGAAGTGCTCTTTAGAACATTTTTATCTATATAATATGTATGGAGGTATGAAATTATTAAATTCATAACCTTATTTAAAGTTTTTAATGTTTGTATTAAACTACAATTGAAATTTGAGCTCAACTTATGAGCTCAACTCTTCAACTTGTGAGTTCAAATATAGTCCACACTCTATAAAATCTATAACATGGATATAAACATGGTTGGAACTTAGTGTGTTTTATGATTTAGATAAGTTTAAGGTGCAAATGGTGCAAAGCTATTTTGAGTACACTTTTGGAATATTTACAAAGTCTAATAAATGGTCAGCTCTTGTTTTGGGTTTAATTTTGTGTTTATCATCAACTTTTAGAATGCTATTATGGTGATCCCATCCAGTATTGTGGAGGATTCAAGGACTAAAATGAAATCGAGGAAGTTATGTCTAAAGCTTAGACATGCTAATGTTTTTATCACTATCATCTCCAACTGAGGTTGCTGATTATCAACTCACTTGGCAAGAATAGCAAAATCAACACATTTTAACACTTTGATTTATAAGAACTACTGCCCTTAAAGAATATACTCAGACAGCGGCGGCTAGGGCTTAAGCCCATGGAGGTGGATGCGAGCACTGTGGAGGAGTTTGTAGAGTTCATCGAAGACATAGATGGGGCAGAGGGCTGCGAATTTTACCTTGATGATGGTAGAGTGGCGGTACATGATGTTCTCCAGGAGTTCTCGGCTGTCTTTATCAGTGTGAAGCGCTATGAGCAAGGCAGGGTCAGGTGGAGACGTCTACAGGCAGGGGAAGACGGCCTGAGCAGGTCTACATATGTGCCTGGATCTTCTCATACTATTCGGGCAACGAAGGCTCCTACACGTAAGTAGCGTTGCCTGGATCTGCCGGCCTGGTGTGGTTTTCGCAACTTTGTGGTCTTTGGATCTGTGTTCTTTCTGGGCTGTGCGTTATTTAGGAGTGCTTCTCGTTTCGCCCTTTTTTTGCCTCGTCGCGCCTCTTGCCCCCTGGCTATGCCGAGTACTGACAAGTTTATATTTCTGTTTCAGCGACCCTGCCGATAACCCTTCAAGCTGCGCCAGGTAAGCAATTGCTGAGCAAAACCACTTCTTGGCTGGAACTTGGCGTTTACTTGTCGTGGTGCTAGTGCCTGGTCTCTGTGTGTTTGTGAAGCCCTTCGGCTGTTGCCTTTGTTGGTGCGGTGTGTTTTTTTTGCTGTGTAGCTTGTAGAACGTGTTGCCTGGATTTTTCTGCATCTGCGGCTCTTCGTACGTACGGGGTTATGCTTTGGTGTTTAATGTGTTGGTGTACTGTGGCTATTTCTACTACTGACACATTTGTGTTGTTGTAGTGTCGAGGTTGCTGGATGTATACACAAAACAACTGGAGGATGCAAGGTTTCTTCGCGGGATGCCGGCGAGGAGGGTGCCAGGCTGCAAATTGCCTCTTGTGGACAACGGTGCGCAGCCGTATTTACATGCGGACTTGGGAGATTATTTTACTTTGGTCGGAAGGGACGAGACGATTCAGCATCTTATGGCAGCCGCTGCACGGGTCTTTGCAACTTTTATGAACACGACGGCCAGTGCCTCGGATATTGAACGAAAAGAGTTCATGTTGATGGTCATCGGATTTCCTGGCGCAGGTAAAACAACTGTCGGGTCATGCCTTTCAGCTCTCCTCAGAGAAGCGTGGTTGAGGGGCACAGAAACAGGGGCTATAGATGCCATTCTCGAGGACCAGCTTGGTTCTGGTAGGCTTGTCACTCAGTTCAAGGAAATGGTGAATAATGTGTTGGAGACCGGGAAACACCTTCGAATGTATCATTCCCTTGAGACGACAAGGACTGGGGGTGCACTTCTGCTTGAGAACGGCCTGGAAGGCGCACAGGTTTTGGCCCTTCGGTCCTTGCATGCAGCACTTTGTCCAATGAATACGACTGCATATGGTGATTTTCTCAAGGAGTTGGATGGCATATTTCCGGGCCTGAGGAATGTGCTGGCTTTCGGAGATGTGGTCGACTTCATTCGAACTGGTCTTAAGGTTCCTGCCGACAAGCGAATTTTCCTATCTTGGTTTTTTGATGAAGTCAATAAGGCTCGACCTCAGCGAGGTCGCCCAGCTGCATCGTCCTGGATTCATGAAGCTTTCTCGGCCTACGTTCAACATATCAAAGGTAACCGAGGTGGCTTGACGTTTCCTGTACTTACAGCAGCAACGACCCGATTTTCTGGGGCCACAATGCGTTACACGTCTACGGAGAATGCTACGAGTATTTTTATCCCTATCAGGCCTTTGAAAGAGGAGGAAGTGGAACATATAACGAAAATCTTCTTTTCAAGACTAGGAGATACTCTCGACATGGAGAAACCATTTGAGTTGAAGGACGGACTAAGGAAGCTGATAAAGTTAGCAGGAGGTAATCCTAGGATGCTTGATCACCTGTTGAGAGGGTTGATGCCCGAGCACCCTCATCTCGAAGCTTTGAAGTTCTACGAGAAGGTTTGTTCGGCTCTTTTTTGTCTTTTTTCTTGATGTGATGAGAAGTTTTTTTATGTTTGTTACAGGTGGATCAAGATCTCACCCAAGCCGATCTGTGCAAAACAATAACGAATGCGTGGAAACGTATTAAGGGCAGTTATTATCTTCACTACCTTCATGACAGCAACTATTTGTTAGTGCTACGAGCTCTTTATGTTGCGCTGCTGGGGACCCTTATCAATCGGGACGACCTAGTATGGCCAGGCATTTACAGTGATAAGTGGGGATTTTTAGAGTCTTGCGGTTTAGTTGGACTCTTACGCAACGAGGTACTTTTCTGGTATTTCAGAAGTTTATGTGAGTGCTTATGTGGGGTTAATTTACAGGAGGAGCCGCCTCCCCATAAGCAGGTAAAATTATCGAAACAGGAAGACACAAAGAATGGAATGCGCGCTTTTTCCATCATGTTCTCTCCACTCCTTATATACCATCTTGTCGAGAACCTACATGTGGCGGAGCTGCGACATTTATGGCCTCCTATACTGGATTCTAATCCCAAGGTTAAGGAGGTATCAGACCTCATGTGCATTGTCTTCATGATATACATGGGTAAGCTTTTTCATGATCGCGAGAAGGACACGGTGTTCGAGTTCACACTCAAAGACATTCTCCCCTCAAATTTCCGCGTTCCTGCACGTATGCAAGCTTTGAAGTTCCGGTTGCCAGCTGGTGCAAGGTTTGGACCTCCGAAACGTCAGCCTCATCAGATTCATGAAGCAGAGGCATTTCAAGCCTTTTTAAATGACAACAAGAAGCAATTCTATTGGGTTGGTATTGGCAACCATGGACCTGATAGCTTCATCCATCTAAAGCTAGTGGTTGTGGAGGATACGTTGGATGATTTTTTTATATTTCTTGAGAGTAAGCACAGGGAATGTTATGAAGGCCAACAAGCAAGATGGGAACAAGATTTTCTGAAGAAAACATGGAGGATAGAGCAATGGATAGAAGGTATTTAATTTTATTTGTGGGTGGTTAAATGTGTGTCTTTTCAGATGGGGAGTACGCTGTCATTTTTATGACAGACCAAGCATTGCATAACGTGATTCGGAAAGTAAAAAAGCAGGATAAGATGGTTGTTCCGAAGGTGGATACATGCTATTACGGGTATCCGCAGCAGAGTCCATTTGGTACGTTTTTTTATGCTTTTCTTTTTGTTAGAATTGGTTTTTATGTTTTTATGTTGTATGTGTAGGTTTATTTAGTGCCGTGAGGCACACATCAATGCTAGCAGCTGCAAGTTGGAGTTGGAGAGGAAAACAAACGAGAGAACCTTTTGATCCAACCTACGAACCTAGTGGTAATCCACGGGGTGCTGAGCGAAGAACACCACCAAGAACACGCTCTAAAACCCGAGGACAGGTTGGAAGAACACGCTCTAAAACCCCAGGACAGGTTGGAAGAACACGCTCTAAAACCCGAGGACAGGTTGGAAGAACACGCTCTAAAACCCAAGGACAGGTTGGAAGAACACGCTCTAAAGGTGCCACGAAGCGAAAAAGGTAACCAGGAGGTTTGACAAGCACCATCAATGGTTTGCACAAAGTATTAATGTGTGCAATTGTCCTGTATAGAAAGAGATATGTATCTTAACCTTAATGGGCGTGAATATCTTTTACCAATACTCACTATATCATTTTTAAGTGTTGTGCTGAATGTGTGGTGAGTGCTCACACACCACAAAAAAGTTTTTGTGGTGCATGAGCATTCGAGCCCATGCTCTTTTGGAATATTGTAGTTGATACTATATTCACATGCATTGTGATGAGAGATGGGTCTGAAATTAGACAATACATGGGGTATGATAGTGAGTGTAAATCCCAGCTCCCTCATGCCCACATCAACAGTATAATCAAAGCATTTTGCCACTTTATGAAAGAGAATTTTCTGTTAGCTACACACATCAGAATTTTTGTAGCCATTGCCAATGCTTAGTGGTAGCAGGGCCTTGGTTTAATGTATTTTTAATAGCTCTTAGAACAACATGTATAACTTATAGCAGAGAGAAATCAGTCTACTCCAATTTCAATATTGGATCATTTGTGCTACCTAGGGAGGGGGAATAGTCAAACTCACCTTGATTTCACCACATACGAGGTGAGCTCCTCCAATAATGTAGAAGCACGAAGTCAGTGAGAGTATTAGAGTTTTAGACAAAGATCTAAAGACCCAATGAGCTCTTTAATCTGATGCAAATGCAAATCTCACCCACAAGTCTCTTCACACTAGAATTTTAAGAAATCCTGTTCATTGGAAACTTTTTCCAACCAAGAAAAGGTGGCACCTTGTTCTTAACCCGCAAAATACATTTGGGTTTGTAGCTGTCTTCCACCTGCTTCAATCTAACAACGTCTCTACCAACACTGAGGCCAGGAGGTGATGTGCTATGCCAATTCCATTGCATTGCACTACAACCAAGTGAGAATCTCGCTAGCTGTGAGAGAAACAAACAATGATTACTTCACAAAATTCCTTGGGGATGTCCTATTGCTAGTAGCCAACCATGAAGTAAAACAAAGCCTTCCAAAACACTCTAAAGCTTATTAAAACTGAATGCAATTTTACTGGCACTCATAATCTTCTCATTAATCACTAATATCATTTTTAAAACACTTTTGAAGACTTTTAAATGCTTCAGAAAAGGGGTGAAGCCCAACCCAACCCTTCCTTATTATTGCCCTCCTTTTTATAGTTGGCTCTCCCAATGATTTCTTCTAGTTCTCTATTGATTGTAGACTTCAAGGAATATCCATGCATCTCCACATCACATCCTAAATGTAATGTCGATCAAAACATGATTTCCATTGTTTCCAGGGTTTGGACAGCATAGCTATGCCACATGCCACCACCTAGGATGCAATCCTACTTCTTTAGGTTTTGCCCAAGCTCATACTTCTCAGCTAATGCTCCCACATTCATTGTTAACAAGTGAATCTTATCCTTGTTTGATCTCTAGGGCCAATCCCAACTGTCCTTAACAACATCTAAACTTTTGAGGTAGACCCAATAGCACCTTCTTAAAGCTTCTCCACCATCTCTCCCTTAGCTAAAATAGAAAATTCCTATATCTACTGCTTTGTGGGAATCTCTAAACCTATCCTAGATTCCTTTTGTTTCAGCATCCCTTTGCCACTTGCTCAATAGGTGATTCCATTCTACACTTGCTCCTTGGTTGTCTTCTCAAGCTCAAGCAATGCCTCTGCATCCTCTGAGATGTCCTCATCCTTGTCTTTTAGCTTGCTAATGGTGTCCTCTGAGTCATCACCTAGGTCCAGCTCCTCCCTAGTGAACTCCTCAAATTTCTACTTAGACTCCTCTTCTCCTATCGCTTCCTTCCATAAGATCTTAATTTCCTAGTGCAAAGTCTTTTGTTGCAACTTTTTCCTTGAGGATCTAGTTGACACGATTGCCTCAATCAGCTTCCCTATTGTCCAAAGCTGCCACACCATAAGCTTTTATAATATAGAGCTCTCCTCCACAATTTAATTGTTTTTTTGAATCTTTATTAGTGTGTTTTCATATTGGGTGTTGAACTCCATAATTTGTTATTCAAATTCTAACTTTTGTTGTCCCTGTGCCTTTACTAAATGTTGTATGATATAGTAAGCAATTTCAACCTGTTGTGATGCACTCTTTTTATCAGCCATTTTAGGTGGCTTTATCTGAGGGTAGTGTATTAGAGTAGAATGATACTCAACATCAGGCATATGAGAGCTTTTTACTCTAATGTCTATGCCAACATCTTCACTAACAAAGGAAAAACAATGCTTTGAGTGGACTATCTTCATATCACTAATAGAAGCTCGAGAAGTGTACTCCATAGATATGCCGTGGAGCACTTCCTCAATTGCAGTTACCATTATTTAGGCGGGTGGAGTCAATTTTCTCTTCATCCTATCATGTAACATCTCAATAGAAAGCCTTGTTCCCATGTAACCACTTGAGGACCTCGCATACACCCCAATTGTGAATCTCTCCAAAAGTAAGCACTAGAGTTGGCATTTCTCTGAAGCAGGGAAAGGGAAGATGAGTCTATATGAAGTCTATTAAATTTAATATGCACTATAAAGCAATCTTCAAAAGTGTTCCAATTTGAGGAGATATTAAAAAGCAATAAAATGACAAGAAAAATAGAAACCAACTTAAAAAGAGTGATGTCCCCATTGGAACATCTTAACTTTTACCACCTTAACTATGACTCAAGTTGAGGTAAGCAACTTGTGTTTGCATAGCCACCTTCACGCCATCATATTTAAATTTTATTTACCTTTGCCTTGTGCTTTTCTTTAAAGGATGCAGGTTGCCATTATTTGCACAACTCCTTAAAAACTGATTGAAACTTTGGCTTGATAAGATGGTAGTGTTAGTTTAGGCTCTGAACCTAATAGAACTCACAAGTCCTCTCATGACCTTTTAATGGTTAACTAGTTCTAAAAATTGCTTGGACACCATTCTAGTTTGCACTAGCCCTATCTACCATGAAATAACAAAATTTTATAGGCTTCCAGTCCGCTTTAGCATAATATCAAAAAGGGACTTCCAAAATATTTCCTGGGTTGTTTGGTTTTTTATTTTAAACTTTATTGTTGCAATTGTCAAGTTATAATATAGCCTATGAAAAAACAAATATTACAACCATTTCAATATAATGAGAATAAAAATTACCTTGGATACATGTGAGCTCCCATAGTTGTCCAACCTAATACACGCTCCATATGGTCAAAATGTACCCCTACATTGTAGAGATTCACACATCCAATTTTTTATCCTAAACAATATAATGTAGAAAATATATATTTTTGTAATGTACAAATATACCTCCTCAGACTAGTAGCAAGTTGTACTCCTCATAGTAAATTCTGTAGGCTAACCTTATTTAGTTGAGTCTTTGGTAGCCTAGATTAAGTAGGGTGTTTGCAATAAAACCCTTAAAGACGATCTTTTAAACATGCTTTAGAGTTGCAGATAAGTTTCTCATAGTTTCTTTCTGCACAACATCTTTGAAATAGTTGAAAGAACTTTTTTGTATCCTTTCTTGTATTGGATGCATATATATGTCAACATATACTACAACTCTTCTAGCCATTCCATCCCATGGAAGAATGTTAGGACCCTATCCCTTACATCTTAAGCCAACTAGCTAAAAGGGTGATCACTTGATTGTAGGGCCCTTTCTTTATCCTATTATTCTGATCTATCCTCCCCTTGTCAAAGAATGATCATCTACAATCATATTTAGGCCATCCTCTAGTCACCATGGTCCTTCTTTTAGGGTTTACCAAACCTTGGTTCTCCCTCTAGATCCACTATGTTAAATATTCCTTTTGAATATTCTTGCCCTACTCATCAGCCACAAGAATAGAACTGGGCTCCCATACCAATGTTAGGATCCTATCCCTTACATCCTAAGCCAATTTGCTAAAGGGGGGATCACTTGATTGCAGGGCCCTTTCTTTATCTTATTCTCTTTACCTTGTACCTAACAAAAAAAGTACATCCTAGCCTTGCTGATAGCACAACATAGAGGAGCATATTTGCAAAATTGACATTTGAATCTAACAGTAATGGTATCACAGGTAGGATGATTGATTGTAAACCCTTGAAAAATATAGAACTTTTTCCGCGATCTTGATTGCATACTTCATCCATGCAATCTAAATGCTCACCACAATAAACTACAGACACCATACCTTCAAAATGTTGGAAGTGTGTGGTATTAATCTTGCATCAATTATGGACATTTTGCTTGGTTTCCATTCCCTTCTGTTTAAAACTTATGTTGTTAACAAGAAGTGGTAGCTCAAAAAAAATATTGCCGTTGTAAGAGGATGGAAGTTTGCTCATGAATCTATACAAAAACAAGCACTTGTCAACTGAGACATGCGAAAACTGGAAAGCATTGTTAATGGCTTTGAATATTGTTGAAGATGGAGCTAGTGAATTTGACATTGATACTAGCATGGCTTCTCCACTTAAACTAAAAGAAGAGGAGAGGATGACGACTGACTCTTGCTTTACATTCACTTTTGCTAGAGTGCATCTTGGCACTTTGATTTGAGATCCAAAAACTCGAATCTCTTTCGATTTAGAATTTTACAAATTTTATTACTGTTTACCCTCACCCACACCGGAAAGAAGAAACCTTGAGCATGCAACTATACCGGTGTCATTGTGAATCACAACCTCTAACAAAATAGAGTCAAGACGAAAATCAAAACGCCAACATAAAAAACTTTTGAAAACAATACTTTGAGAAAATAAAAGAGGTGGGTGATCTCGAAAATGTAAAAAAAACCTCTCCATCCTTCATAATAGTTTTTGGAGTTCTCTCTCTCTTTATACTATTTGTAAAAATCTATAGTGAAATATAAATTGAAATTCAAGGAGAGCAATATGAAGAATGTTAATAGCATACAAAATGAATTTAAATTCTATAACAAATTTAATATATGCAAGTGTGATAGTTTTAATGTTACTATAATCTATTATAATGTCTGATGCATGTTTGCACATAGATCCAAAGAAGGATTTTCAACACGTGAAGTTTGATAATTAATAATGATATCAGTAATGACATTTGAGTATAATGTGGCAATCCAAGAGGTCTGAACTAACTAATAGCACATGTGATGTGTCAAGTTTG